TCTCCAGTTGGAGAACCATTGATAAGCACAAAAATTCTAGCTGCAGTAATACATTCCTTGATCCATTCAACCCACTTATCACCAAAACCAAAATTTGACAACATGGAAAACAAAAAACCCCAATTGATGGAATCATAAGCTTTCTCAAAATCAAGTTTCAGCAACAACCCCTTCTTCTTGGCTTTCTTCTACCCATCCACAATTTCATTTGCAATCAAAATCCCATCCAAGATATTCCTTCCACCCAAAAAAGCTGATTGGGTTTCACTAATTACTTCTGGCATAACTGGTTTGAGTTTACTTGCTAGAACCTTAGACAAAATCTTGTACGTTGACCCAATCAAGCTGATTAGCCTATATTTACTGAGATTGACTATATTGACCTTCTTAGGGATTAAAGCGATGAAAGAGCTATTCATTCCAAAAGCCAATCTACCCAAACTGTGGAACTCTTTCATGCACAGCATCACATCTTCTTTAAACACCTTCTAATTCTTTTGAAAACACATTAAGTTAAAGCCATCGAGTCTTGGTGCTTTATTCCCATTGCACTCTTTTACTGCTGCCCATATCTCTTCCTCCGAAAACTTTGCTTCAATGAGAACGTGTGAAATAGATTGTGCCTCTACTTTACAAAAAATACACACATTGGAGACTTCCTCACCCAGCACTACAACCCTTTGGAGAAAAACGATAGTTTTGATTTTATGTCTCCAAGCTAACCATCCAAAGAATTGAGCTTTGGGTGGGAGATAATTAATCCACACCAATCTACTAGTACTCACAAATGCACCAAAACCCACTTCACAATGCCTATAGAGAGAAGCGACAAAGGATTGACCTGGTTTACAAGCTAGCCATCTTGGTTTGTTTTTTTCACCCAAACATAAAGCAAGGGCTGCTCTTAACACTTCAATGAGCCTGGATACCTCCTCAACCTCCCACTACCGCAAAGGCCTTCTTAAATTGAGATCCCATATCTCAGAGCTTCCTTTTTTATCAACAAAAGGCTTGAGAGACTCATTCTTATCTGTTGAGAGTGAAAAAAGTCTAGGGAAATCCACTTTTAGACAATTACCACCACACCATTTATCATGCCAAAATCTCACTCTACTCCCATTACCCACTTTAATTTGAAAATTGTGGACAAAAAATTGTAAAAGAGTGTTACTTTGCTCTGCCACTACTAGGACATCACCCCATAACTTAGACCATCTTATGCCAATAGTTTGATTTGGAAGCCATGCTCCATCTTCAATTTTATACTTATGACAAATCACCTTTTTTTCTTAATGCCTCCTTTTCATTAGCAAATCTCCACCAATACTTCATTAATAGGCAAGCATTGACCTCTCTGATTCTCCTTATTCCCAACCCACCTTGATTAATGCTCTTGGTCACCTCTTTTCATTGCACTAGATGAATCTTTCTTTTCAATTATGTGCCTCCCCACAAGAAAGCTGCTTGTAATCTATCAATTTCCTTAGCAACTCCTTCTGGCATCCTGACGAGAGATAGATAATCACAAGCAAACTAGACAGCACTTATTTGATTAGAGTCAGCTTGCCAACAAAGGAGAGGAGCCTCCTTTTCCACCCCGCAAGTCTGATTTTGATCTTGTCAATGACAGGTTGCCAAGATTTCTTTCTACTTGGAGAGGCGCCCAATGGTGGTCCTAGAAATTTCAGTGGTATACTCTGAGTTTTACAATTAAGCAAAGTGGCAAATTCCTTAAGTATATTGCCCAAAATTCCAACCCCACAAACCACACTATAATGGAAATTAATCTTAGACTCCTGAGACCATTTCAAAGCACCTTAAGATTCTTTTTAGATTCATTACCTCCTCCACATCAGTTTCACATAATTCTAAAATAATAAAATTAAGAAACCTAATAATTCTAAAATATTTGTACTAAATTACAAGAATTCTAATAATACATCAAAAATATTAAAACTAAAAATATAGAAGTTCTTAAAATCTTGTCCTGAAAGTCTTGTCCTACACCAGACTCCTCTTCTTTGAAAGAACTTGCCCTCAAGTTCATATTAGGGATCTGCCATTGTCTATGCCAAATAAAAAAATACTTGGAATATTTTAGTTGTTTGTCTCTCATGGACAGAAGTTCATCTGGCAACTCATCAACAATAAGTTCTTGGAATTCCTCCAATAATGTTGAATTTTCTGAGGGATTAGTGTGATTGTGTTCTCCTTGGCCACAAGTACCATTGTTTTCATAACCATAGCATATAACTCTTGTGAAGTTTTCGCATCTACCACAAACTCGACCTCTGAATTGGTTATAGTGAGGAAAGACTTTGCTTTGACCTTCGGAGGCACTGTGTGTTGCTTTAAGGGACTCATAGCAATTTTATGAGACCCCCAATTGAACACATAAGTGTTGTCTCGCCCTCTAAATGTAATATCCACATCAAATTGCCAAGGTCTTCCAAGTAATACATGACTAGCATCCATATCAACCACATCACATAATGCATCGGATTTATAATGTTTGCCAATAGAAATAGGTACCTTACATACTTCGGTTATCATGACAACAGGTCCTTTTTTGATCCAGCCAATGCTATAGGGAGAGGGGTGTGGTTTAGGAGACAACTTCAGGTGCGTTACCAATCGTTTAGCCACAAAATTTTCGCAATTTCCACTGTCCACAATAAGGTCACACACCTTTTGATTTATGGTACAACAAGAGTGAAAAATATTGTGATGTTGACTGAGGTCCTCAGTTTTTGGTGTAAATAGAACCCTTTGAACTACACAGTTGACTCATTCTCATTCTTCTCTGGCGCGTTCCGCACCTTCATACTGATCACCCTCATATTCTGCATCACCATCATCCCCAATTTCATCTTTTTCTTCAACTAAATTAGCAGTCCTTCTTTTTGGGCACACATTAGAGCGATGGCCAGGCGTACTACATCTATAACACTTATCCGTTGTTGGTTTAGCATAAGGATTTGTGTTTCGAGGTGCCTCTCTACTACTTGATCCAGTCATCTGGTTTCCTCCTCCTCCACCAGCAGTACTCCTCTGCTGATTTACTGGAATTGTTGGTTGGGTAGCCTATTCTCCTTTTTCCCTAGTAGAAAACGATGAATCAGGAAGGTTCCGACAATATCCAGAATAGGTTGTTTTGCGCTCCATTAGCTTGGCTTTGAGAGCCATATTATGTGCTTCATCCACAGTCCACACTACTGATAGCCCCATATTCTCTCGAATGGTTAATTTCAACCCATTGAGATACCGGGCTACACGCTGTCCTTCGGTCTCATTCAGATTATTGCGATCTGAAAGTCAACAAAATTCAGTTGTATAATCAAATACAGATCGACTTCCTTGGTTGCAATTTTGGTACAACTGAAACAAGTATTGATCATAATTTGGTGGTAAAAATCTATCTTGGAGGAGTTGTTTCATCCGACGCCAAGTCCGTACAGATTCTTTTCCTTGTCGATGCCTATTTTTCTGCAATTGATCCCACCATACCGCAGCACCTCCTTTTAGTTTGTACGCCATCAATTTCAACATCTTTGATTCTGGAACATCCATCATCCCAAAAAATCGCTCTACCTCTGAAAGCCAGTCAAGAAAATCCTCAATATGTAGATTTCCATTGAACTGGGGAACATCTATCTTCATTTGGTACTCATCGAACCCTTGTTGTTGTTGTCTTCTGGGTTGATAGTTGGCTGGAAGTGGTTCAAACTCTGGTTCAGACTCCTCCTCACAATCAGATGGACAACGAATGGGACGTCTAGGAGAATTCTGAACAGGTTGACCTCGGGCGAATCCCTCGGTGCGCACTCTGTTCTGGTTAACAGGTTGGCCTTGGGCAACTCCCTCAGCACGGATCCTATCAACCACTGGTGGCCTGTTGTTGGCATTGAGATTCAGGCCAATAAGCAGATCACGAATTTCATTCAACTGCTCTTGCTATTTCTCATATGCTACCCATAGGGCCTCGACCCCACGATCACCGCCAGTAGGGTTTGCATGATCTACTCTGTCTTGTGCCATTGAGCCAGGTGAATCCTTGCTCTGATATCACTTGACGTAGCAGAATACACGGAGACTAGATATCGTTCTAGCAGACGAGAATTCTTGAATCCACAAGAATACTCTTGAATCCACAAGGAAGATAGAAGAAAAGCTCTTTAAAATATTATTGAATGAATAAAAATTACATATGCTTGTAGGCTTATTTATAATAGACTAAACCTAATACTTGTAGGAAAAGTGATTCCAAAATAAATAAGGAAACTTAAATCAATACAAATTAATAAACCTAAGAGAACTAGGAAACCTAAGAGACTAAAAATTCTAAACTATTTAAAATCCTAGTCAAAATCTAATTCTAAAATAATAAAATTAAGAAACCTAATAATTCTAAAATATTTGTACTAAATTACAAGAATCCTAATAATACATCAAAAGTATTAAAACTAAAAATATAAAAGTTCTGAAATTCTTGTCCTACATCAAGGAGGTTGGAGCTTGTTCTAGCTCCAATCTCTTCTTTATTGATGTTTTCCATTGTGCTTTGTACGTGCTTTACCAATAAAGTTTTCCTTGCAGCAAAAAAAAAAAAAAAAAGCATTAACCAAAAAGTCAATCTGTGAGCCATGGAGTGTAAACCAACCACCACAAAATCAAGCTAGCAAGCAAACATATTTGAGGCACGAACAAGCGATTTTAAAATGAAGCACAAACTAATACATTCAGCAAAGCAAAGCTACAAACGACTTCAATGCATCTCCTATCTGTTTTCAAACTACACCACAAAGGATATAATATAAATAACTTTTTTATTTTATTATTTGTTGCTTTCCTGTTTGATTAGGAAACAATTTGGGTAAATTCATTTGATTCTCGTAATCTAGTTAAGTTGTTTTGCAGTTTAGTAAAATTCAATTTACAAAAAACAAAAAACAAAAAACAAAAACAAAGCAAAATAAATGGAAAATTGTTTTTTTGATTAACAAAGAAGAAGGGAAACTTTATATTGATGAAAAGCAAGCAAATACAAACATCAACTTATATCAATAAAGGAAGAAAGTGCAAAAAGTATCATAGCTATCACTCCACAATCCCAACTAGGTTGTAATTTCTTGTGCTTTAATCTTTTTATGTCTATAGCAGAACAGAATGAAAAGGCATCATACAAGACAATGTTTGCGCATGGATAGACGCGGCTTACAAATGGCCTCCAAGGGCTTCAACTTTGGCATGGTGATGCCAGGACTTTCAGTCATATCCACCTGCTCTTCATTAACTGTCTTCCATTCAAATGACTGAATCAAGGCTCCTAGTGCTAGCCCAACCATCCTTTTGGCTAGGCTAGCCCCGGGACAACCACGTCTTCCACTGCCAAATGGAATCAGCCTATACCCATCTCCAACACTCTCCGCTTGAAACCTCTCTGGCATGAATTTTGTTGGATTTTCCCATAGCTTGGGGTCTCTATGAATGGCCAATGCATTTACCATTAACGTCGTGCCTTGTGGGACATCATAACCCCCCACTATACAATCCTCAGATGCTTCATGTGGCAATAGAAGTGGGACGGGTGCATATAATCGAAGTGCTTCATTCACTACATTTGATAGGTAATCTAGCTTGGGTAAATCTTGTTCATCTATGAGGCGATCCTGTCCAACGTGAGCATCAATCTCTTCTTTAACTTTTGTCATTGCATCTGGATGGTTGAGGAGTAGTGACATTGCCCATTCCAAAGTAGTTGATGAAGTCTCACTCCCAGCAATTAGCAATACCTATCCACACCAGACACCTAGTTAAGAGGTACAACCAACACACTCACAAACACACACAAAAGAAGAAGAAGAAGAAGAAGAAGAAGAAGAAGAAGAAGAAGAAGAAGATGAAAATAGCAATGGAAAATTACCTAATTTTTTTATTACTACATACAGAGGCAAGCGTATCAATTGTATATTTATGTGAACCTCACTACTACCTTTGTGTTTAGTGTTAAGAAAATATTGTGGAAAATCCTTTTGTGTTTTGACATTTCTCAACCACTACCATAAAAAACCACAAACCTATTTTTTGTAGATTATTGCAAAATGAAAGTTGATAATTAAAAAGTATAAGCTAACTTATCCTCCAGTTTTTCAATAATTGATTTTGTTAAAACTTAAGTTGTTTTTACCTCATAAATTATGAAGTATAAACTACACCAAACACTCTTAACATAGATTTTCAATGTATATATGTGTTATAAGCAGCATCTATAAATTGCATCAAACAAGGTCAAAGAACTTGTGTTGCAAAATTGACTCATCCTCTCCCAAAAAGAAAACTGTGTAGAAAAGGGTAGATCTTCAAATTGCTTAACAAAAGGATGATAAACATAAGAAATTCATAATCATAAGGTTGTTGAGAATACCTCCTTATTGGAGTGTGGGACCCAATTGATTTATTAAAAGAGTTTTAATTTGGCTTGGTTTAGTATAATATATTTTTATATATTATATTTGTGGAGACCCAATCCAATTTGATAACAATTAGAATTTGATTACAAAACCTAAGATTCAATAATATATTTATATATATTGATTCAAAGTGTGCGACTGCCAGATAATATATACTGTTTCGGTAATAGTGTCGGTGGATTGACAATTGGGGAAGATTTGTCCAGGTGCTTGATTTGTTCAAGTTTTTTGTTTCCTTTGTCTGGAAGTTGATTTGATTCGTTATTTTGGGTCTTCTATATTTTGATTTGGAAGATTTTGGTTCATCTATTTAGTAACGTCTTTTCTCTTTGTTTATTTGTTATTATTTGGAATTCACCTAAGGGTGTTTTTGTGAGACCATTAGTGTCTCGTTTGTAATCGTTTGAAACTTATTTGGTTGATAGTGGAATCGGATTTCGATTCCGTGGACGTACCTCACATTGAGGGAACCACGTAAAAATTCTTGTGTTGTCTTTGATTTAATTTTTCCGCATTGGTTTTTATTCCCATTGATTGATTTACTTGTGGGGAATCACATATTTTTCCTAACAACTGGTATCAGAGCTTACGGTTTATTTGGGTTTATTTATTTGTGTAAATCAATGAAGGGGAATGTGGGTCGTATGTCTAGCTTCAATGGAAGCAATTGGGTAACTTGAAAAACTAAAATGGAGGACTTATTATTTTGTAAAGATTTGTATGGACCCATTGAGGGTGATTCTGGCAAACCCGAGGGTATGAAAGATGATGAATGGAATAGGCTTAATCGAAAAGCCGTTGGTGTTATCCGTCAATGGATTGATGACAGTGTGTTTCATCATGTTGCTATGGAAACTTCAGCACATGATTTATGGAAAAAATTAGAAGGCCTTTATGATAGGAAATCAGCCAAAAATAAAGCTTTTTGTATCATAAGTTGGTTAATTTAAAATAATCATGTGCTCATAGAATTTATATGCTCATAGAATTTAATAATGAAAAATTATATGCTCATAGAATTTTCATATAGAAATCATGACAAGAATGATTATGATAGTGGTATTTGTGAAATTAGGAAGTAGTGGTGGGTGATTAAAAATGAAATGACCAAAACAAGCCACATCATTTGGTATGAAATTGATGAACAAAGCTATATTTGTAGATCGTTACTCTTTTATAATCGAATGAATATTTGGCAAAAACTTCCAATTTAAAAGAACAAAATGTCGACTGGTAAAAGCTTCATCAAGGGAAGAAGAAATCCTTATTACAATGTAAACCCTTAAAACACCCAACTGATTTCTCAACACTCTACTGCACTTTTCTATTGCCAGAAATTGAATATAAAACTTTCTCCCAAAAATTCCCCAAATCTCCCCAATTCTTTTATCTTTTTCTAATCATTCCATTAAATTTATATCAAATTAAAAGAGAGGCAGTTTACAACAACCAATGTTGAATCAAAGTATCTCTGACCCTTCACTTTTTTTTCATCAAAATTTGTTCAACAATTTAAATGAAAAGTTTGACTTGATAAAAAGATAATCAAATTTTTCTTCAAGTAAAATCCATATGAACGTGACTTTTGGGCTCCTGAGGCCACCACATGTCATATATTTGGATTATTTGAATTGTTCCTGAGAGGGTAATTTTTGGGAAAAATTGGGCCGAGCTGCAAGTTGGGCTTTGAGGCCCAAAACGCGAAGGACTAAGTAAGAAGGCCGTAAAGGATACTCCGGCCCAGAGAGCAATGTTACTCCGGCTGGGAGAAGTAAATGTTACTTCGGCACCCCCCTCATCTTGAGTTAAGTCCATAACCAGTTCAGCGGGAGGAGGGGACTTGACTTCGGCA